GACGCGACTCGCGGAAGTCAACCTGTCCACCGCTCGCTCGGGTGGTAAAGGCTCGAAACCGGTTTGAGGGGAGATTGCGTTATTGCAGCCTCGAGAAATGAACGTGCTGGGGTTTTTCTTTCAGTCTCGGAAGGGTTTTGGGCGTGGCCGTCACGCAGCATTTGCGCTCGTGCCGAAACGAGTTGCACAGTTACGGCTATATTGCGCCTCATTTTTCCATCCACGAAGCCACGCAATCAGTCGTGCAAGCCATCCACGGGAAGTAGATTAAGTTTTTTTTTTTTTACCCCGCTTCCATGCAAGCACATATCTGCCGGGTGAAAACCCTTAACGCCATTCGTATGTCAGCCCACGTAATTCATCGTTTGAGCTGCCAGTTGATCGTTTCCACCGGCATGGATTCCCCTTCGCGTGCAAATCGGAATTAGACGCTCCGATCGCGGCTTTGGCGATTGCCGTTTACGATTTGCAATGCGTTTGCCGATCCTCTCTCGTCTGGGAAATTCCGTCTCTTCGATGAAAATCATTCATCATGGTCCACGTGAATAACTTCGGACGGTTAAGCCGGATGAGCCCTTTTCGGCTCACGATTTAAACGATTTCCAGTTCCCTCCTCGACTGCACTCCAGCCTCTTCGTATGTTATTGTTTATAATGAAGCACATAGACATAACAAAAACATTGGCAAAGCGAGTTCCTGAGATTCGGTGGCGGATCGAGATCCTATTCACGGGGGGCTGACATACGAATGGCGTTAAGGGTTTTCACCCGGCAGATATAGTTTCAACCCCCCCCCCCTCCCCCCCCCCCTCTTATGTATCCGCCGCTGCTGCGATTAAAATTCCTGCAGATAGGGTCGGAATGGTGTTTCCACTCGGTCCCACTTTCATTCTGCACCTCTAAGCTCCTAAAGGCTCCCTCAGCCCACCTGTAAGCTCTCATAAGCTCCCTCATCCTACGTGTAAGCTCCCATGAGCTCCCTCGTCCTACCTGTAATCCAGGAATTCCCTGATCCGAATCCCTCGATTAATCGACTCGTCGTGTCGACAAACGCGACAGAGCGGGTCGCCAGGAACTCCGTCGCCCCACGCCACGAAGCACGAGAAACCGATGAGCGAAGACATTGCGAGGCTTCTCGGTGCTGACTGGGCTTTTAATGCGGTGGTTGCTGGGCGGCGCAGTAAAAGCGATGTCATCTGGAGGAGGCACGTGGCTGTCGGAGGGAGATAACTCACTCTGGATAATCCGACGATTATTCCGGGTGAGTTAACGGGCATGCGATTCTCTCAACTCTCTTCCCGACCCCCTTCCTTAACGCTGAGAGTCTCCCCGGGCTGAGAGTCTCGCGCTGAGAGTCTCGACTTCGACAGCGGAGCCTCGCTGCGGTTCGTCGCCTGCGAGTCTTGAAAAAATTTTTTTTTTTTTAGCAACTACCGGCGGCTCTTCGTCGGGTCGGAAAAAATAGTCCCGAGGGAATGTTTATTTCGTGGTATGTATCCTAAAAGATTTATCATCAAATCTGAATCTCGACAGAAACTTACGGACTTAGTTCCAGCTTTCTCTCAGTTTCGTCGAAACGAAAAAATTCAGCCAGTATTTAAAAAAAAATTAATCCAGAGAATTCGCCACCAAAATCGGAGTTTTTATGATTCCTAACAGCTATTCGCTTCATCTTTCTATCGCATCTTGAACATGGTTAGAATGAGCGTCAGTCACGCACGTCGCGCACAAATTTCGAAGCTTCCTTCATCGTAACGCACAGGGCTTCATCGAACACGAATTGGAGCCTAGCACACAAGATCCCATATTTTCATCGATCGGCTTCGACGGCGCCGATCACCTTGCGGGCGATGCAAATTGAAACCGACTCCGATCGTTATCGTGCCGGTGAGATCCGTAACGAAACACGAGATGATTCAACAGGAACAAAAGTTCTACCTGAAATAAGAGACCACCGACCAGAAAAAGGTCTACCTGGGTGTCAAGAGAGAGCGGATCACATCCACTCACTAAACCAGCATGACAGAGTCGCTCAGCAGATCGACTGGAGGTCGATCAGCTTCATATCATCCAATCATTCCAGGTAAGGGGGAAGTCGCGAGGAGGTTGAAGTGAGGCTGAGGTTGAAGTTGAGGTTGGGGTTGGGGTTGAGGATGTGCTTGAGGTTGTGGTTGCGGTTGCGGTTGAGGATGTGCTTGAGGTTGTGGTTGAGGTTGTCGTTGCGGTTGAGGTTGAGGTTGTGGTTGCGGTTGAGGATGTGCTTGAGGTTGTGGTTGAGGTTGTCGTTGCGGTTGAGGTTGAGGATGTGGTTGAGGTTGAGGTTGTGGTTGGTTTCACCTGCCCCTCATTTTCTATGGTCACCGTCTCGCAGCTCATACCTACAACTTGTAATGTGAGAGCTTCACCACGAGTTAGAGGAGCGGATCAGGTTTGTGAAGAAGCCTAGAGGTAATCGAGTCAGTGATTCCTGCTGATCCCAATTTCCTCCCGTTCCTTGTAATATTCTTGCTGATCCCATCGTCTTCTGAGGCACGCGCTTGCGGAATGGGCTCGAAACTCTGCAAACCTGAATTTAATAGATATAACGGCTATTGAGCCATTTTGGGAATATTTTGCGAAAATATTTATTTGCCTCCCACGTTTTCTTTTCATTTTTATTAGTCCAAATGGGCTAATCAGCATCCAAAAAAATCGGATTTCCCCGGTGTGACGTCGACTTTCGGCCGAAATCTGTGTAAAAAAAACCAGCCAAATGCGTTCAACTGGTTCGCTTATTCGCCACCTAAATTGCTTGCAGAAAACGTGCAGATTAACGAAAATGCAAGAAACGGAAATGACAAAGATACTTGGCAACTTTCCCATATGCCATTCCCATGGCCACTTTCCGTTCATGCTATCTTTTTGCGCGTGATTTTGGTCAGCTCGAACCTCTGCCAAATCCCCCAAGCGATGACTTTTTGGCCCTCTTTTTAAGGATCTTTGTCATTTCTTCTTTTTCTAAATTTATTTCGCGCCATTTGCAGGTATTTGGCGTTCGATGAGTTAAAAAGTGCAATATGATGATTTGGCAAATCTGTTATGCTCCTAAGTGTTCCTTCAGGAATGAATATATATCAGTGATTTCTGACAAGAAATCCTAAGCTAAATCTGCGTCTCTAAAGAAGTCGCGCTCTGTTCCCCTTTGCAAAAGCTAAGCTTTCGCGCGCAAAATTCGCGAATCATCAATTGCAATCTCAATTCCGCTGGGAAACCCCAAAGAATGACTGCTAGCGGCGTGTGCATGAAAACCTGAAAAAAAATTTAAAAAAATCAGCATCCAACGGTAATCGAACCCTGGTTTGTTCAAATCCTTGCACGACGTCCAAACCCTTTGGCTAACGACGATGCTCTTTGGTGCTCTATTTTTTGGTTGCGATATCGCGTTGCCATCTCAACGAGATTTTTTTTTAGAGAAACAAAAGCCCAAGTCGCATCTCACGACCATCCATCCATTCCATCGCATTATCTGCGCGTATTTAAACGTTTCAGTATTCGAAATCCTAACTCCTGGACGCCGCCGGAGGATTGAATCGTTTCTCGCCGCGATGGGGCAGAGGTTTCTCCTCCGTCGTTTCTTGCCTCGATCGGGATGGACCATCCGTCGACCATAACCTCACGCTTGCCAAGCCTACCATGCCTCCAACTATCGAAAATGACATCCGTTCATCGATGGATGCATCAAGAAAGCCCGAATTTTTTCTTATCGCAGTTGAGAATCAATTGCCAATCACGTTCACTTAAGTTTTTTTCTTCCTCTTATTCTTCGTCCAACACGGCGTTCCTTGGACATCGGCACCGGCAGATAGGAAACCTGCTGATACCGACGGTTGCCGAAACATCCCTACAGCCTTATATTCAAGTGACGTCCATGTAAATTTCACTTTGGGTTCACTTAGCGTCAAGTAAAGAGGTAAAATGCCCCAGGGCAAGTTAATAGAAATTCTAAGTTTGCATACTAAGAGAAAGACAGGAATATAAAGAGGAGGATTAATCGATGTATGTTTCGAAATGAAGGGAGTGAAAGAACAGTCCACTTTCATAGCATGCACCTGATGAGATCGAGCCGAAGTCTGAAACAGAAGAGGAAATGATATTCTCGGTCTTCCCTCCCTCTCCTCCGATTCCAACTTTTTTTTTTTTTTGCTTCCGTCTTTCATATACAGGGTGTCCCGTAAGTCAGGACCCATAGGGATTTCTAGGGAGCATTTTCCACCTTAAAGCACGCATTGTGGACCCCCCCCCCCCCCCCCCCCCCCCCCCCTCTTTTCTCTCTCCTGCTGGCGCCGCGGGCGATCGCCCGACCCTAGAAACGGCCCTGAAAAAGGAGGAATGTCTTGGAAGATAAGCAAAAAGTCATCAGAATACGGAATGGAGAGGTTCTCCCTAAAGAGACTCAACATCAAGCAGCATTGCATTCAATCCAATGGCACTGTGTTCAATTACTGAATTGTGCCACTCGCTTGAGGGAGTGATCACGCAGCTTTGCGATCGACTCTTACTCTATTAATCACGAAGTGGTTAAATATCTTGGGAGTGGTTGGAGCAGCCGACGTGCCACTTTTTGTGTGTTTTTGGTTAAAATGAAAAGGTACACAATAGGAACACATGAAAACAAAAGTGATCGTTGGATCGATTCGAAAATAGATCGCTTTTACATCACCAGCTAATTATCACACATTTTGCATCCCTTGAAATAATTTCAATGCACAATGGGTAAGACAAGGGACGATGAAACGCCAAAAATACCAAGAAACGGAAAATACGGCAGCATGGCGTAAAAGACACCATAAAACACGCCTCAGATGCTCAAGCGCTTCGCTCCTGTAAAAAATAATATCAGAAAAAAAAAGTGAAAATGCATCTGAAGCAAAGTCTCAAATGTCGCGATCACGACCTAGGAATTTTTTCCATACCTGCCTGAAGCACGTTTCCATGCGAGATCAAGGAAATGTACTCGGAGGAAGTCCCATTATTCGTCCTCGAGACCTTGAGCGTATTTATGAACTTCACTGGGGTCGTTTTCTGCGACAGGTGGGCGACTTGACTGCCACTCCCATGTGATAGAATGTTTTTCACACCCGAGAGCCGCGAAATGTTATACCATGACCAGAAACAGATATAACGGTTCAAAAGTGCGAGAAAGAACAACAAAATATCAGGAAAATATGAGAAAATACGCTCTTAAATTAAGTACAAAATTTGGCAATAGCATTCTAGCAATTTGGTCCGGTTTCAATCTGCTGTCTATGCAATACAGGAAAGAATCAGCATTAAGGCAACTGGAGAGACCGTCGGGCAAGCAAAGGGGTAGCTATAGAAAAAAAAATTTTCTTCAAGGCATCTCTTGTCTTACACCTATCAGTAAATGACAGATGCAAGCGTTCATGTTACATGTGATTCATGCTAAGCGAGAGATGCCTCGTATCCATCACCCTGCACGGTTGAGCCAAAACCAGAGAGTCACTCATCCGCCTCCTGTTTCTTTCACAGCACCTGACGAGGATCGAAATTCTGAAGGTTGTTCATTTCCGACCAAGCAGGGAACCGAGAACCATCCATTTCTGAAGCGTGTGCGTTGTCCGCGATCAGCCTATGCCTCTCTCCTCCGATCACGGCTCGACATTCATTGCATTGAGATGTTTGATTCGCTCCTCCGCAGTCCCCAATCGCATAGATGTGTCCATTGGGACATTTATACCAATGTCCTTGACCCAAGTTCATGGCCTGCAACGAGAGCACACATTTAGACCCACCTGTTTGGGAAACCTTTACTTCACATGGCGATCGCAGGATCGATAGATCACTATATATCAAAGCCGAAACGAAAGACATCACCTTGAGGATCATGATTCGTTCTTCGTTGGATATCCCCAATCCTCCACAACTTTTCGATGCAGCATCCAACTCCTTATGAGCCTCTTGATTCATCTCTTCCGTGAAGGATTCTAGACCGAGTAGCAGGGTCTCCGCTCGCTGAAAGTGTTGCTTGGCTCGAGGGTGTTTTTCTACGCCCAACTCCTTAAAACGTCAGAACATTCTCATGATGCATCGAGTGAATAGTGTCGTGGCTAAATTTCTGTCATTCGCGACTTCAAATTTAGCTGAAACATTATTTTAAAAAAAACGACAGAGTGATAGTTGCAATCGGACGGATGGCGTTCCACTGGACAGTAAGACGATAGACGAGAACAATTAGTGCTTAATTTAGCGAAGTTACTGCGGATATTAAAATCTCACCAATAGCTTCTAACATTCTCTGTCATTTCCTCCACATTATTTTCATTATTTCCATAACCTATATAAAACGATTCAACTTCTACTTGAAATTGAAAATTGGAATTAAAAATGAGAAAACTGAAGAATAAGGCTCTGAAATTACATAAAACGAAATACTATCGATTATGTAGTTTCAACACCATGAATCATAAAAGGTGTGGTTCAGGGTCATTCAATGTATGAGATGAATACAGCTGGCATCACCTGAAGCTTCCAGTATTCACCCATGAGACGGAGACGCACGACTTCCCCCGCAAGCGACTTCAGTTCCCAGTCGTTGAAGCCCCTCGTCCGCGACAACACGCGACTCGCAAACTAAAGATTTAAAGTAGGGATTTATAGAACACCGCGAGTGTGGAACAACGAGACATGCACGAGACGCCTACCGCCTTTGCTCTGCGAGCGAGCCGAGCCTGGACGTTCGGGCTGAGTCCTTCTTGCTTGACTGAGAGGTCCAGCTTTTCCAAGAATTCCACCTGATGCTTGAAGGTCAGGAGCTCAAACTGGTCGACGATGGTCGGGGTGTGTGGAGTATTGCGGAATTTCTTGATCCGTTCTACCTTGACCTCTGCGCTCCCTTTTAGGACTGTGAATTCGGTTTGCAGATGAAGAGAGCTCGCACCTGGAAAAGACAATCGCTAAATGAAGCTAAAATGGAGTGAATATGGAGCAAATAGAAACAGAATCGATTGGCTACATCTTACAAGATTATCAGAACACCTCTCATTTAAATCATTTTAAACAGACGCCAGTGACCTCATCTGTGATTCATGAATTACGTTAAATATTCAGAAGCTTCACAAGGATACTCTCTCCAAGCATATTCAAGATAATAGAAATATGTGTATTTAAGGGATTCACTAAAATGTAACCTTGTCTCAACTCCTTGAAAACAGGCGTACAAGTCTGAATGGGAATAGCTACAGCAAAGATGCTGATTGTAATCTTGTCATATTTACCGGATTGGTATCAGGTAAAAAAAAAATAATGATCTCAAACTCACTCAGCCTTAACAAGTCTTGGGAAGACTTCAAGAAGTCATCTTGATTTTTTTTCGGGTCACCGAAGGCTTTCTCTTTCACAGCAGCAACATTGCGATAAAGTTGTCGAATGACGTTCCCGTACCGCACCGACGACCAGATGACCGTGTGACAACGGGGACATTTCTTCATCCCGATTTCTTCCATTTCCATCTTCATGTGGTGATCCATGGCCTCCACTTCGATGCAGTGCCCGCAGTCTGGTAGGTAAACGAACCTGGCATCCTCGTCGGCCTCGTTCCCGTAGATCTGGAACTCGGCTAATTCTTCTGCATTGCAGATTTTGCACTGAGGAGGACATGGTTCTCCGCAGAGGCCGATGCATGGATGATCGCATTTCTTAATCTTCTTTGGACAGGGCTGGTCACATGGTTCCCGGTTACATATCTCATGACACTTTTTCGTGCACTTCAACTTCTTAGGACAACCTTTGTCGCACTGCCAAGTGCACGGTTCCTGGGTGAGAGAAGAACAGCGGAATTGAGTGCAACGGGATACAGTATGAATTAGAAGGAATGACCAATGAATCACCTGACATGAAGGACAAGGATCCCCACACTTCTTCGTGCAACGGCTGTGCTTACATTTATTCTGGCACTTCTTGTTGCAGGGAGGGCACGAACGGGAACACTTGAGTGGGCATCTGGGACAGTTGGGATAGAAAAAACGATTAAACATGGATTCTTTCCACCTGAGACTGCATCTACACGACAGGAGAGCAATATGCTAAACGACTTTAATTTTGACAACGTTCATTTACTCCACATCGAGATTCTGATTTGATTTGCCTTATAATGGCTGCAAGTATTCACACGTTTGTTTCCTTTCTGCACTAAACTCAATGTAGGGGGCCAACAACTCGCATCCATCACATATTTAAGCTATCCCCCAGAAATGTAGTACTAAGGAGCAGCTTAATAGCAATAATACTTGGCAGAGAAAACATTGAAATTTCCAGGTCGTGAAAACGGTGTCGTTGCAGACAGCATGTTTACACCATAAGTACCCTGATGCACGCCTGCTGGCGTAGATGACGGCACAGGCAGTCATTAAAATTCTGTCATTGGGCCGTCAGTCGCAGCTTCAGGGCCTCCGGGGCAACAAACCATGGCCAAAGATCACCAATCAAGATCGCAAATGAGATCGATGGCAGCTCATTCCGTCACGATTCCCCACCCGTAACAAGTGTTTCCGAGAGGACACATCCAGACTTTTACTCTTATGCGTCAGTGAAGTCCAGAACGACCCTGACCAAGTCTAAAAATGGCTTATAAGCTTTTGAATTGCACCTAGTGGCTAGTTTCACTTGATTTGAGTGGGCAAGAGTGGCTCGAACATCGGAGGCGATCGTGATTGCTGCCGTTCTGAAACTGGATCCGACAACTGTTCCCATTGGTCGCAGAGACACCAGGCTTATATGTTGACACTTGCAGAAACCTGGCATCAACATCCCAACTACCATTTTTTGCTTATCATTAGAATCGACATTGGTTTAGTAATCTAACCCTGGTCGAACTGGTCATAGTGACTTGCTTTGGAAGTCGTTCCTTGGAACTGCTATATAACTACTTTTGGAACTTCACAATAAACAATTACTGTGCTCCGTCACTCCTTCCCTTGAACTCTGAGGTTTGATACGACTACTTCGTGAAGACTAACAATTCCAACAAGAAACAATGCTCAATGTTACTGAGTCCTATCAAAAACTCATTCCTAAAAAGTAAACCTGAGCCATAACATCCAGGTACGTATCGAATCTGCAAATGAAAGGTTTAAGTGAACTGACACGTGTCCGCAGACAAGAGGACGGCCACACTTGTGATTGCATTCTTGATGGAGTCTGCCTCCCCAGCAACCCCCACATTTTCCCATGCAGACGTGTTCGCAACCAGGCAGCACCTTTGAACAAGGTGCTTCACAAAGCTCCATCAGCTCCTCTGGGTCGAGCATTTTCCTTGAATCGCAGCATGGAACATTGGCACCATGCCCACAGCTGGAAATAGAATTACATTATCAGCTGGTCTTCAGAACAAAGTAAGAACCACATGAACTTTTTAAATTCTCACATGGACGAACTATCACCACGGTATGGGACCAAGACTTTGCATTTCTCTGTGCATATGTCTCTACACAAGTTCGTGCACGAGTGACCACAAATAAGTCTTCTTTCACATGTCTGTGTGCAGTCTTCTTTCTTTGGAATCGACCAACATTCCACCTCCAACATGTGACCACAGCCGGGAATGGGCTTCTTAACCCGCTTCTGGCATTGCCCACAAGTATAACTGCACTTGAGACGACATCGGTGTCCACAGGGTAGAGTCTTAGTGCAATTTTGCAGGCATTTATATGCATTGACATTATAATGGCAAGGGAGTTTCTCTTCATGTCCGCAGGGCAAGATGCGATCCATTACCACCATACATGGGGGACAAGGGTATTTCCCACACTTCGCTTTGCACTTGTGTTCCTCGTTGCACATTCTTTCGCATGGCTTTTGACAGTCGTACTTGATATGCTCTGGATCATCCAGAACGTGACACTTTCGAGCACACTGATGTCCACATTCCAAGCGGGCGACACAGGGAATCTGACACTGCGCCTTATCGGGATCAAGATGACAGGGCATTTCATTTGAGTGCCGACATGCTGGGATCGTCTTGACTATGGGGATTCGACAAGGATTACAATTCTCCCAGCACCGTTTAGCACAGTCGTGGGTGCCTGCAGGACATTTATTCAAGCAACTCTCATTGCACCTGAGTGATTTGTGTTCTCGATCATAGGCATGACACGCCTTTGGACATACGTGGCCACAGGGCATCTTCACTTTGCACTGCAAATGACAACCTCCACCAGCAGGGAAGTGAGAGGGCTGAGATGCGCTGATAATCTGATCCCTATGAATAGAACATTGGAGCTCCAACTCGGTTCCGATTGCTTCCTGTTTCTCCAGAGCTTCCAGCATCTTTTTCCAAATCTCAGATCCACTGCAGAGTGAATCCATGTTTCCCACTATGTACAATCCCCATTTGGCTCTCGACAGAGCCACACATACACGGTTCTCCGTCTTCAGAAACCCGATTTTCGCTTCTTCATTACTCCTGACTAATGAAAGTAAAATGATCTTGTTCTCTTCACCTTGGAAGTTGTCCACAACGGTGCATCGAACTCCTTTGCAGTCCTCATACTGGTTACCTTTCAACAGCTGAGAGCGGTGAACAAGAGTACAACATAAGTTAGCTCATTTCTCACAATTCTTAGGGGGAGACAATTGGGTCGTACCTGCTTGAAAGCTAAAAGTTGGCCGCTGTAGGTTGTAAGGATTGTGATGTCCTCTGTAGTGTATGTATCCTGGCGAAGGAGTCTCTGACACAACGCAAGAACGAATTCTGCTTCAAACAAGTTCTTGTGACTTCGCAAATCCTCTTCCTATCAAGTAAGCGTTGCCAGGCGAGAATGAAAAACAATGAAGTCAAATATTCCTCTTATCACTAATGGTAGAAGTGGTCACCTCAGCTTCCTTATACGCATGAGTAAGGAAGAAAAGATTCTCTGACATCCCCGAAATGCTTGGGTAGTCCAAGACGGAATCATGATTAATGAGATCGGGATAGATATGCGGGGTGATAAGGCAGCTGATGGCTGGCCGCATTCGATGCTGAATTCTCAGTCGTTTCACCTGGATCCCGTTGTTCACTGCACGCTCAAACATGCTCACGTCCAGATGGTATTTTCGCGCTAGCTCATACACTGTTGGATTTGGTCTGAGCTGCTGATGGTCCCCTAATGTGAAAATATATTGTTAGTATACTTGATTCCTGTGCTCTAGGATTTAGAAAACGTCAACCCTAATTAATAGGACTCGGGCTTCTAAAGCCCGTATCTTAAATGGCATACGCAGTCTTACGAACAGCTTGTCTTGAAAACAATCATAAACAAGTAAATGTTTAACCAGAATAGGAAATAAAATATAGTGGGATAATAGGAATCTCGAAATGCGAAACACTGGAGAAATAACAGGTCGAGGGGTGATGGCTGGTATGAATTCAGATGCAACATATTCTCCATAATCTTTTTAAAATTCCGAAAGATTTCTCCATTTTTATCAAACATAGCAATGACTGTCCGACGATGTCTCACTCACCGATCAATATGAGCTGCTGGCAGGAACGTGAGAGAGATGTTACAATATGGGCTTCCATGACTTCGGCAGCTTCTTCCACGATCACTGCGTCCAACAAATACAAGTAAAGGGAATTTCTGTTCATCCTTGGATCCGTCAAGGAGTCAGAATTATAACTTAAACTTTAATGTCCATCTCAGCGGAGAATAAAGTGATGTCTCAGAGATTCTCGTTAGAAATGAGGGAGAACAGCAGGCAAACGATTCTTCCGAGAGAGATTCTAGTTTCATCGCATTCCGGATCTTCATGGGATGGTGCAAAAAACAAGCTTTTACCATTAATTATTTGAATCGCAATTTCAAGGTTTGATGTATAAGGTGTCATGATTTCAAGGTGTGTCTTTCGCCGAAGTTCGAAGGGGCAAGTACGGGTGTTATATCATTCTCCTACCTTTCCTCAAAAACTGTTCATCTTCACGAAGCGCCAGTGAATTCTGCATCCAAATCTGCACACTACGCCGAATTCATTATTGCCGAAGCGCAGAAATTTATTCTCGTTCCATCCAGTTCCCAGATCTCTCAATGTTCTCCCCAAACTAAAATAGCCTCAGCCCTTTTACACACCTTTTAAATTCAAAATTGCCAGTTTCCCAGTTAAGCTAAGCATAAAAGAAAAAAAATGAAAACAGGACATGATAGGCTCAAAGCGCAGTCAGGTGACAATAAACAAAAGAAACGTTTGCATTTTTATTCCCTTATTTATCCATAATTGGACAACTTGGGCACAGGCATATATATCAATAGTAACAGCTCCCAGTTGGTTCAACGGCAATATGCTCAATGCGACTATCTAGGCCTTCCAATTCCGAGCTCCAAATCTAAAAAAATTATTTGTCAAGTTTTGCCTACCTACTGAAATGAGAGCGGAAATCAATCCCTCGCTTGCGGCTCAAAGAGACGAAAATATCAATACTACATCTTATTACAATATGGGCTATGATTAATTGACTCCAAGCAATCCCGTTTTCAAGGACATCATTTGTCACCCCTGAGATGGACTTTAAGGGACATCCAAACTCACCGATTTTGTTGCCGATATTTTGCAGCAATGCTTGGTACTTGGCGGCTCCAGAAGTGGTCATTCCAATCACCTCAGCCCCCTTCATTGCATGCAGCTGTGTAACTCCCTGCACTTCTCTGAGTTTATCCACGAGTTCCAAGTAGGACCTGGACTTCTTCATCAGCTCATCCCGGATCCAGGCAAAAACTTGTCCATGCCAAAAGGCCACCAACTCCAAGCATTCATAGAGGCTCAATTGCAGGAGAGTCTGTTCGTCAAGGTCGCCTTCCTGAAGAATCTTTGGCTTTGGAGGGATCTTTAGAGGATTCACCATCAACAGAGGTTGAATTTGCTCAAAAAATTCCAGCTCTTTTCGAGCTCTCGTGTACTGTTTTTCAGCAGCAGCCATCATCGCTACTTCCTGGGGAGACGGATCTTCGACATTCACAAAATCTTCAAGTTTTGATTCTGCATGTTGGATTTTCAGCCGCAGATTTTCGGTGAACATCTCAAAGTCTAATTTTACAAATGCGTCAGTCACTTGGATAGGCTTGTTGTCCTCGACATCGACGATAGGATCGAATTCATCGTCATCGACAAACTGAGCCAGTCGAAATGCTTGAGCATCCTCGATCTCATCCTCTTCGTCGTCATCATCGTCTGCCTCTTCCTGCTGCTGTCGCGGTTCCGGTTTTTGGACTGGTTTTTCAAGGGGAACTGCTGACTTCAGTTTGATGAGTTCTCGCTGGATGCCATCCTGTACCAATCGACATTCCCGCTGAAAGTTCGTCTCTCCCCCAAATTCATTCAGCCAATCAAAAAACTTTGGGATAACACGATGCGTCTCTTCATCCATGATCCCCATGTCCTTCATGGTTTGCGGAGAGACCAATCCCAGTCCTTCCTGAAGGAGGGAAAGCTTCTCTTGATAATACTTCACATGTCCCTTGACGGTATTCATTTCACATATGTGCTGCCTTCTCATCTTTGCGAGCACTATATCATCAAAACTTGACTTCATCTGTCGAGTTTTCTCTTCCCATTTCCTAATGTGATATGCTTCCATGTGAGGAGACTTAGAACGGCCCCCGATGCGAACTATTTTCTTGGTAAATGACAAGATCCCCTCCAGGAACTGATCCAGGGCATGATTTGTGAAGCAGATGACAAGGATAGGACCAGTTTGTTCTGTCACATTATTTTTTAGCAGGGTCTCCACAACTTTGAGCCCTATGTATGTCTTCCCTGAGCCAGGAGGGCCTTGAATGACGGAAAATTCCTGAGTCAGAGCGCTCTGAAATGCCTGCAATTGTGACTCATCAAGGCCAAAGTCTCCAGCAGGAGGCCAATATGCTTTGGCTAGGAGGTCCACTGTATCCAGATGAGTACGAATGAAGGAAAAGTCGTAATAATCCGGAAGAAATTTGGGTGGAGCATCCTTCATTGCCCCATAAACAATGTAATCGGTGAGAGGAAAACTCTCTTCATCACGCTGCTGGAGGCACCGAAGGACATGTCTGTATGCCTCAAAGTATGCTGATGATGCTTCAATGATGATCTTTTCACCCTGCATCCATGCATCAAGGTTGAACATGTCGCTTTGTGGACTGATGGTGAGGAAGCCTTTCTTCAGTTCATCGGCATTTCTTCTCGATACAGTCCCGAATGTGAGATAGTTGAAGTCAAGATCCGCGAAGCAGAGGAGAGACCCCGTCATGAATCGCTTGGTAATGTCCCATTTTACTCTGGAGAAACGAGAGACATCAAACTTGAAGATGAGGTGGATTCCATAGAAGTCGTGATCCATGTGGTGAAATGTGACTCCGGTGTAGACACGGATGTCTTGATGTCTGAAGTTTTTTCGCCCCATTCCCCCTAACAAATATTCCTTGAGTCCATTCCGCAAAGGAGCAACAAAATCCTCTCGTAGAAGCCGGAACTGGACATCTAGATAATGCTCGACGTTCATATAAGCACCTTTCGTGATGTTGGATCGAAGGAAGGGAGCTTCAGCGTTGAGAATTTCCTCAGAGGTGGGAATGATAGGAATTTCCCGAAAGTTGTTAGGAGCTGTCTCGAGATGAAGGCGATTCAGACGTTCTTCTTCGGCCATGCTCTTCATTGCATATGGAGAAACTGAACTCCCTTGAAAGGCTTTGCTGGCATCTTGAACTGTTGTGAGGAGTTCAGCAAATTTGCCTTCCAAAGCTTCTACATCAAATTCCTGAGTCTTAAGAAAGAGCACGTAGTTGTTACAAGCATGAATTGCTTTCATTACATTGCTGCCAGAGACACCTGGGTACTTCGTAGCAAAAGCCTTCAGTATCAGAAAAAACTGCTGCAGCAGCTGGCATCCCACTTCAGTTTTGGAGGGGTTGCACTGAAATTCAAGCAGAACTCTGGAAGAGCAGACTTCTAGGAACTCGCTCTGATTTAGCATGGTGAGAGCAGCATTCACCATATTTTCACATCCGTCCACACAGCATACTTTTTCAAACACTCCCACGATGAGGACCACCCTATCACTTTTTTGGAACGTTTCTGAATTAGAGAGGAGTCTCCGAAAACTTTCATTGGGATCCATGACTGCCAGAACTGCTTCCAACGGAGATAATTTTGTTGCAATCTCGTGCAGTCGTTTGTATCCAATGTAATAAGGTGGTCTGATGCCTTCGGGTGTCCCCCCTACTTGTCCTCTTCCTGCTCCCCTGTGATGGCCTCTTGAGCTGGTTTCAGTTCTTTCTTGCTGCCCTCTCATCTGACCTAACATGAAATGCATGAAGTCATCGTGTCAAGATTTATTCCCGCTTTCACTATTTATTCACGGTGGGGGGAGGGGGGAATCTGTCCTCTGCAGATATGAGGAAGTGAAAAGGAACGCAAGCTAAGCAGGCTATCGTTTAATGAGGCATTTAAAGCACTCGAACCTTTGGTACTTGTAAGAATGCTAGTGTCTCTTAGTCCCCAATCATTTTCCAATGAATTTCTCCCTTTTCTTACTACAGTCCTGAAACCTCTTCCCAGGATTTTGCACAACTTCTCAATGTTGAGAATAATTTAGAGTACAATGCACTAAAATAGTTTAGAGTACTATGCACTATCAAAAGCTAATTATCAATAATTTTTTCTCAACCTTGGAAAAATTTTAAAAGACGCTCTTCTAAACCTATTTTCTAGTACTAGCTTATCAGCATGCCAGATTAACCCATCATGTTCTCACAGGTTTCCAACACCTTTGGAGCATTCCGCAAAACAATATCATAGCTAAGATAGACAAGGAAAGAATGATAGGATATGTTCAAATAATAATCGCTAACATAACTTTGCCATATATTGCGTGATTTACAGTGGGAACATGGCTGTTAAACTTGGACACTTAAAAAGCTATATCATGATCGCAGGAATACGGGCGAAGAGATTGAAGTGCTTCGTTTATCTCTTGTACGTGAATTGCTCAATAGTTTAACTGGTATTTAGCAACAAAAAAATGTTTAAGGTCAATCTGTTACAACTACATTGTCGGAAAGAAAAGAACATCTACGAAGCTAGAACGAACTAGACTACAGCCACCAAACTTTGGCCATTTATTGGAGACATCGAGGTACGCAAATGATCAATTTTCTCTCCGATATCTGGTATCCCGGTGGCGTGATACAATCATGTGATGGCCACGTGATTTAAAAACCGCTGGGAGCGTTTTTTGGCAGCTTGTTTCACGGACAGAGGGGGTCATACAGAGTACTAACTGTGGTGCGGTCACATGATTGAATCACGTCACTGCACCCGGACGCCATGTCTCAAAGAGTGTGATTACGTCCATACCTCGATGTTTCCAATAAATGGCCTGAGTTTGGTGACTGGCATCGCTCGTTCTAGGTGTTCCTATTCTTTTTTTTCCGGTAGTGTAAATACCATTTTTAGAATTCGGCATGCAAGCCTGACTAAATACCTCTAAAATCTCAAATAAAATATGTTCGTGTATTTTAATTAAAAACGTACAGTCAGACCAACTCTTTCCGGAGAGTGAAGCTTCCCCATGAGCTTATAATGGACGATCCCCAGTAATAGTGCTATCTTCGCAGCATCCATCTGACAATACCCTTTCGAATGCGAACCTACTTTTTCATGTAAATCATCTTTGATTCTATGCCGTGTATCATGAATGTCGTAACCCTAATCCAGAACGTACACAGCTAAATATACCATTTCAAAACAAAAAAACCTGAGCGGGGAGGGTGTCATCCCCAGTGAAGTAAGAGAAAATCACCCGGATTCCTGAGCCCCATACAAGGCAGTTAATCATGGTCCTCTTCTGATCGAATTCGTGTTCTAGCAAGTATGAGGCAAGGTCATGAGGAATGTGAGAGACGGGAGTCAGTAAGGGCCAGAGTGCCCGGGGCTCGAGATCTGTTCAGGCGCCACCTCCATCCTTGCCTCCACCGCTTGAGATTTTTTTCCCCAGAAAAGTATGTTTGTTGTCGACTGATACCAGATCGTGTAACAGATCGTTAGACCGTGAGAAGTAACTCACACCCGTGGAATGGATCGTGCATAGGGATAGTGTGGTGCATCGGTGACAATATAAGCTTCACGTGTGCACGAATAAATGACAGTATAAAAGAAACAAAATAGGCTTCACATGCAATCAATTAATAAATTTGTCATTGAGAGATTTGGGCATCGCAGGCACTAGCATACTGCAGTTCATTCGATATAGTGCATAAATCAGTGACAGCAAAAAGTGGCGTTATAACGAGGGATACATTCCCTGAAATCATTTCAGATATTCACTTTCGTTCGAAGTCATGAAATCGTTGTAGCCTGCAGAATTAGACCTCAGTTCCTATCTTCAACGAGACAGTTAAGACCCGATAAAGGTTATCTGTTACGGCTTTTGCATTCCAACACAACAGCACCGTGATAACAAAAGGAATAATGACTCACTCGGTCCAGATTGACGAACTGGATAAGGATGGATGGAAGGATTGACGAAGTTGGAATGTCGTCCCCTCTGCATTCTGGATTCATGGGAGTTGAATGAAGGACGGTAATTCTGTTGCCTCGGTTCCGCTCTGGCTTCGAAGTATGGAGAAAAGGAATGTTGGCGCCCATGCGATTCATAGTACGGAGAAGGATGATTCGGCTGTCTCTGGTACATGCTGGATCTGGAGTCATTGTAGGGGCGATGGTGATGCTGCTGTCCGCCCCGCATCCAGGGTTCATAATGAGAGTGGGAATAGGGATCTTCCTGCTCTCTCCTTTCTTCTGACTCGTGATGGGGCCTTCCTCGTAAAGGAGGTCTGAAGCCCCGTCCCCATGTCTGTCGCTGCATCTTCCAGTCACTTTCCACGTACGATCATCAATCCAAGTAACAAAACGCAGTCAATTAAATCTTCATACTTCACGCATTCGACTAAAAGCATAATAGGAGCCACATCTCGAACCTGGAATTCGCTGAAATGAACCAATAACATTCATGGTTTAACCGTCTCGAATGTATAATTGGTAATTGTAGGGGTAATTGCAAAAATAATGCCGGGTGACGTCCCGGCACTTTTTCGATGCGATTGGGTGCATCTAAGGTGCGCGACTCCCGCAACGAGAAAATAACGACACGTGTTGACCACTTAGGGTGGCGGACGAAGGTAGGGGAAAAGCGTTGTCGCAAGTTTTCTAAAGGTTCCTGCCCGTTTCTACGCTACGCCACCGCATGAAGTAGGCCTATCATTAACCTTATCCGGCAGAAGCCTACATTCCTGCTTCGATTTCACTGAGCACGGAATGATGCACTTGAGAGCTGCAGCTCGAACTGGGGACATGCGAATGGCACCCGTCCTCGAGATTCACTCATCAGTGTACACTAAATTCCCAATACGAGACTGGAATTTTTATATTGGGCACTGCCCGCTTGAGATAAGCAGCATTGTATGTCATTTCCCACTCTTATTTCTATGATAAGGAAAGCTCTCCCAAAGAGGAAAAAATAACCGTTTTTGAGGGTGACTGATTCATGTAAAAATAATTTTGCTCAGAAGACAAACATGCGTAAATTTGTGCAAAGTGCCTGACAAAAGACGAATGGGTCAGCCGGGACTCACTGTTCACGTACATTTTCTTAGAAGTGCACTCAGGTTGCGAAATGTCATGGACTCGTGGATATTTTTAATGCCTGTCGAGTGACATTAAAATACCAAGAAAGGAAGATGAAAATTTTGGCCAGGCCAAAAGGCTCACAAAGCCGTCTTCCGAAGGGAAACAGGAGTCCTTAGATATAAGCAATGATACCTGAAGGTATTGAGCCTTGCTAAATGCAGAACCGAGGCGTGAAAAATGTATTTTCCCGAGAAATCAAGTCAAGGGCAATGCCTGAGCGACGAATGGCAAAGAAGGAATCAGAATACTCAAGTCGACTCTCCGCGTTCCTACCTTGAACTTAGAATTGTTTCCTATTTCCCCCATTTTAATGTTGTACAGCTAAAAGAACGGTGATACGAAAGACTTCTCAGAGTAAAACGATTTTGAATTTCCGGCTGACTGTAAAGAAAGAAAAAAAAAGTAGAAAATCCCATTTACGAGAAACTCCTATTGACCAAGAAAACTATGATTAGCACATGATATTTTGGAAAACAGAGCGACCTCTCACATCGCTGACAGCGAAAATTGTATTCGTCCCGCAAGTTTTCCGGGATCGCCGCGCGAAACGGGCGATCGGGACTCGAAACAAAGCAGAGCTAAGAAAACATCACGGAGGCAGTCAGATGAATATGGTGCACAGTACAAAGATGACTAACGCGATCCGCGAATGTACAAAGGGTGGAAGTACTTTCCTGGTCGGTCCTATTCACATGCACACACACATACACGCACTCTCACGCTCCGACTTCCACGCGCCTCAGTGTTCTCGCATTCGGTCAGTCGCAGTTCCCCTGCCTCCATCTTTGCTGCTCGCAGGCTACTTCGCGCCTCTTAAAAAACTTGGAAGCAGTCATGCCTGCATGAACGCGAGTAAGCATCGCGAGGCCTGGTAGGAGAGGTTCATTAGAGATTTCGGTTTTTCACATACTCGAAACAGTGCTGTATAGCAGAGAAGTACGTGCAGCATTAGAAGAAATGTCAAAATAAGGATTACGTTCACATTTCTGGCAAGAATGTAAATGCTGGTTATGATGGCATGCACTTAAGCAGCCCGGATCATTCTAGTGCTGGCCCGTGGGAAGTTAACTCATACGTCACAACGAACTCCCCGTTGCAGCAAAATAACTTCGAAAGTCTACTGATTCTTCCTAAGAACGGGATTTTACCGCAGTTGAAAACCATGACGTGGACGACTGTAACTGCGACAGGAGGCGACATTCCTCCTCAACTCTTATCGTAACGGACCGGACGGCCATCGTTCGACACGTGAGATAGTGGCTCCATCCAAGAACGACCGGGAAACCGATGCCAATGCTTTCCACTCCACGAGGAAGGCTAAAGGCTCTATCCTGGTTCCCTGGACGAGCGAATTTAGAAGGAACTGCACTGCACGTCGCCCACGTGCCACTCTCTCCCTCTCACTGAATCGATGGGACCCGTCTGTACCTTCTCCTTGCCTCGCGACCATGAATAGTGTACGGCATCGGGCAATCGATATTGCTTATTCCAAGTTACTCTTATCCAGCATTTTGCATTGATGAAATCCTTGCAAGTAGTCGACTGCGCCGGTATAATTATATTTAAGAAAAAGTTACAGGCTTTTCAGAGAAGCTCTAGGAAGTGAGGTCTCGGACAACGTGACAGCTACCAAGCCGGTTCTTTGGAAGGAGCGGCTTTTTCTCACAATTTCTTTTCCTGAGTCCGAGAATGATTTTTTCTCCCCCAAATCGAGTCACAAGCATACCTACTCACTATCACGGCACAAACCCCCATCACGACGTCATTCTCAGAAAGAGGTGAGAAACGGCGTCGGTCTAAGCCGACATCAGAGGTAAATGCCCCGACAACTGAGTCAATCCCCCTTATCGGCCAGCCCACTTCAAAGTTTCATCGAGCTCAACTCTCTCAATTCGGATGAATCACGAACTCAGGAGTGGCGCCCCCAGTTAAAACTAAAAAGCAGCCTAAAATCATACTGACAGGAGTTGCTGCATCTGCTGAACGCATGGTACACAACATATGAAAGGCAGAGATCTAGCTGACATGAATTCCAACCGAAGGACTGAATAGGAAC